GGTGTCAGGCTCAGACAGGAGAGCCGTCCCGCCCGGAGCTTCACTGCCCCTCGGCCCCCAGCAGGACCTGACTGCAACTCTGCAGTTAGGCTCCCAGCCCCCGGGGCAGCGGCAGGAAGCACCTGCGCCATCCCTCGTCGTCGTCGGGCTGCAAAGGAGGGGCCCAGCCCTGTTAGCATCTCACAGCCAACTCAGTGAAGGGAGGGAACCTTCAGGACCTGACCAGGGTCTTGCCCAACTAAGGCTAGTGTGGACTCCTTGTGTACTTTCGGTTTTACTCCCGAGCATTCAGCCGGAAGCCCGGGGCCGTCTGCAGGAACACAGAGACTTCTCAGGATGTCCTCTCCCACCTATTAAAATCTGTTACTCAGATTTATGACGTCGTGAGATGACGTTCATGACCATTTGTAAAGATTATCCAGAATCCCGCCACTCCAACACACCCCGATTTCCTGTCTTTTCCCCAGGTCTCTTCTATGGGAATACGTCACCCTCACATAGGAGAAATCATAGCGTGGGTCTAGGCTTCATGCTTCCTTTGGGGTGAAGCAGACCTGCTTATTTCACAGTCTCATCCACGATACGGATCATGGCAGCATCACGGTTCGCTTCCCCCCAGAGATCACTTGACTTTTAGGTGGTTTATAGTCTGTCACTGTCACAGCTCAAAACCACACATTATCCTTAAAAAGCTCTCCTTCCTCTGAGTTATTCTCTCTCCTAATTTCTCAGGAGTGGAATGAATGAGTCAAAGAGCTTGAGTGGCTTTGGCTCTTGATCTTTGCGGTGAAGGGACCTCCCAGAGGCCGTGCGGCGCAGACACTGACCACTTCTTCATCTGTCCGTGTGCTTCTAGGTCACCGAGGAGACAAGCCTCATCCTCCAGACCCTGGGGTACACATGCACCTGCAGAGGAATAATCAACGTGAAAGGCAAGGGGGAGCTGAAGACATACTTTGTAAACACAGAAATGTCAAGGTCCCTTTCCCAGAGCAACCTGGCATCCTGAAGAGTTGCCTTCATTTGGGCAAGAAGACTGTATTTTGGGGGAAGGTACAACGCACTTTCTGACCGCAAACTTTTGTCCCTCGTTTTTGATGTGCGTGCTCTGTTCTGTCTTATGGAGCCTTTTCAGACTCGTTCCTATGACCCTGGTGGCATATCGTTTGGTGTCTGACGTGTGCCAAGATCGCTCTGCCACTTGCACTGTGCTTACTCCGAAGCAGAAGGAAAAGGAGTGTGTGTTATAGGAGAAACGCGTTCGCGAACTCACAAAGACGGCTGACGTGAAATAAACAAAAATTCTTAAGGCAATAAAACTAGGGGGTGTATATTATCTTCCGGTGCATGTTCTTTTCTGGAAAATATGGTAGCTCGCCAACCGCATCTGCTAGTCTGATATTAAACACACAGTATTTGTGAATAAGTTTATTTCTGTCACCCCACATGGGAGTTGACTGTGTTCACGCACGTGTCTCATCGCCAGTGGCTGTCCGTGGGCCCCAGTGGGATCCGTGGTCCTGTTGCCTTGCTCTGTCGTGTCTCGTGCCATCCATCTCCAGGATTAGTTCTCACAACCTAGAACCAGTTTTGTACCAAACGCGTCTGATGTTTTGATGCCATTGTCTTTTGTAAAGTTGATTCATTAAAAGTTTTATGTACTTTGGTTTAGAATCTGTATCTTTCCCCACCCCCCCATTCTGCCCTCTCCTGCGGGTTCACTCAAGAACCAGGATTTGCTTTCCCTGCTCCTCTGACGGTTGTGGCAGAAAGAGCTCCCAGGAAGCAAAGGTTGACATATCCTTGAGTGATTCAGATCAGGACGAAGTCCGTGAGGCAGATTCCTGATTCTGCCACTCTCTGGAAATGCTCAGTGGGTCCCACCATCTGGTTTTCACTTGGCATCTCTGGAGAACACTTTCTGGGAAGTTATCGTAATAGTGAAATGATTCTCTACCAGCAGCAATGCCCTCTCTCTCTCTGGCCATGTGCTCTGGTCTGCAGCCCTCACCGCAGGCTGTGGGAGAATAAGTTGGCACTGACTGTGTACCTCAGCAGCCCACCACAGTAGTTTGAACTCACTGGGAGAAGCTGCCAGGCCCCAGAAGATGCCTGTTTATGTCTGAGGAGGCTTAAGATGGCACAGAGCCAACATTCCGCATTTTTGAAGAAAGAAGACTTGGGGAAATTTGTTCATGTAAATCCAACTCTAGAGTTTCAGGGCTTTTCCTTCACATAAGGAAACTGTACTTTGCCAAAGGGTGACAGAGCAATCGTGCAGAATGGGATGTTAGAAAGCAGAGCTACAGGTGTCCGCCCGGGTGGGCACGCCGGCTTCTCCTCCCAGCTCAGAGCAGGCGTCTGTGAGGTGCAGAGGACCCCCGAGCTGTTAGGGACAACTTGTCCCTTGGACAACTTGTCCTTGGGAACTCAGACCCAGAGCACAAGCCCTTGTTTAATTCCTGACTGGTCGCTTATGGGCTGTGTGGCTGGGAGGGTATCTCTCCTTTTCTCTTAGGGGTATTTCCTCTTTGATAGCTTCTGGGATCGGGTCTGAGTCAAAGAGCTAATGACCGAGAGAGAGCCTGACAGCTACCACCAGAGCCACCCCCAGAGCCAGGATTTTGACTCAGACTCAGGTAAAAAGCACTTCTCGAAACTAGGAACCGGCCCTCCATCCCCCAGTTGGGAATGCAGCATGACTTGGTCCGTTGCCTGCCTCAGTCAGGGATTTTTTTTGATCCTATAATTACATCTCAGCATTGGCCTTCATACACCAAATTCTCATAAAGGTGACGGAAGGAAGAAAACGCATGTATGGGCCCCTGTCTTCGCTCTAACAGTGATCGGAACTAGGGAGCCCTGGGGTTTCAGTGACATGAGACTGGCCTTCTGTATCACTCGTAACCGTGGTCGCAGCCATATCCCGGGGGTCCTTACTCCCTTAGAGTCCTCAGCACCCATCCCAGGCCGCTTTAGGTCACTTCCTCTTAGCGGGCACCCACCATTGAGTGACTGGCCAAGCGCACTTAAGCATGGCTCTCTGCCCCCACCAAGGATGTGCTGAATTTGATGAAAAGACCTCAAAAGGAGACTTGTTTTTTCCCAAAACTGAACTGCCGGGCTTACCAAGCTAAACAGTTTCTGAGTTCTAAAGCAATCAAAGTCATTATCAGAGTCCATCTTGCAAAGGTCTGCACACACGGATCATTGAAGTATGGTCCCCGACCAGTGGGGGCGGAGCCCCCTGGGCACCCATCCATTTCCTGACCCCAACCCAGACCCGCCGAGTCAGAAGTCCCGGCCGTGGACCCCAGCACACTTGCTGTGTTTAGATAACATGTTCTCCAGGGGACTCTGGTCCCCAGTCTGAGCCCCCCTGTGCTTTCCAACTGACAAAATGGGTGCGGAGAGGCCCAGGGCCTTGTTCAGTCTTCCCAGCGACCAGTGGCCAAGACAAGCCTAGATTGCAGACCGACCAGCTCCTTAATTCTGAAAGCATCAAGTCTTCATGATAAGCTCCGAAGCGACAAATATTTCTGTGAGCAAACTATGCAGACGGCCGGCAGCTCAGTGACCTTGGTAGCAAGCAAGCTTCTCTCCTCAACCTCTCCTTAACCTTCCAGTCTTGCAGAAAGCTCTCTCTCAGGAAAATGGCTTGCATGTGACCCCATTACACCTGCAGTGTTGCCTACATCTGTTTAGAAATGTCTGCGTTGTCGCAAATCCTCCACGATGCTCCTTGTCCCCAGTTTGTTGTGCTTTCCTGAGTGCAACCTCTCTGCCTTCCAAGAAAGATCAACTAACCATGGAGATTGGAAACAAATTCTTTTATTATGTTTCCCTTTTAGAAGGTGACTGGGCACTCATTGGCTTTATGTTGTTGAAGTCCAGAAGCCAACAGAAATACATTTAATTTTTCCCTGATACCTAAGGAACGCGAGACCTTTTGAAATCTTGTCCAGTTCAGGCCCTGCTTTTTTAAAAGTAGAAGGTTAATGGAGTAGGATCTGACTTTAAATAACTGAAAATAACTTAGTTTGACACAGATTTATTGTAGTCAATTTCAGATGAAGGCATTTCTTAGCGATGCCTTGTCTTTCTTAGTAGTCATGAAGAAAGTAATTTATAAAAATTTTCATAATCCAAAATTGATAGATTTTCTATTATATTATTATAAATAGAGTTTAAGCTACCCAAGGCAATCCCAAATTCACTACTGCCATGTGTTCGGGAGGAAAAGTAATAAAAGATACCTACAGGTGGAAATAAAACACGTTTCCAAAAGAATAAAGAAATACATGGGAGCTACTCCGCCTTGAAATTGTTAACAATTCAGTGCCATATGTCCTTAGAGAATCAGAGCAATAAAACCAGCCATAGGGGAATCAGCAGTAAAACGAATTACATCACCTGCTCATTAACCACTAAGCCATGGGAAGTTCAATTGGAAGGGTGCGGGGTGATTTCTTTCAAAGACAGCCATGCACTAAAAATATAGCGCATACCTTAATACTTGAATAAGTTTCAAATTATCTCCAAAATAAACATTTCCAACTTGAGTTAGAAGCAGGTGTTTCCAAAATGAAAACTGTCCACACGAACAGCACCAGCCTCTCGTGTGGCTGCCTTCGGACCACTGATTCCCACACACACTCCTCACGGTTTGGAATTCCCACTGGGAAGAGGAGGAAATGTGGGCTCCAGTCGGTGGAATGATGGGTTCTGTCCCCATGCCGCTGGGAGAGGCAGGAGCGAGAATTTTACCCAAGGCTGTCAACCACCAAAGCCCAGTCTCTTCCATGACCTGTGGTGAGGGGGGACGGCAGCACTACCAGGGTTCTGTCCTCAACTGCACGGACCTGTTATTTACAGCTCAGGCCTCTGGGGCAGGGAGATGTTGTGGTATCTAAAGATCACTTATTGTAAAAAGAAATACCATATCATGGAGGAAGGTAAACCCAGGCAGCCGTGGTTTCCAAAGCTGGTGAGAAAGGGTGTGCACACCCCTCCTGGAGCGCCCCCTGGGGTCTGAGGAACCAGAGAAACAGTGAACGCAGTCACCGAACCACTGTCAGGTGGGAGCACTTTCCTTTTATTCAGGTGCTCACAGTGGATCGGTCTCTGGCATCATTTCAGCGGACACGGTCCCACGAGATTTTATCACATTAAAGGCCTCTGGCCAGGGTCTTCACCATGGCCACACGAGGAAAAGGGGCTCCCGGGCCCATCCCCCCCACTGTCCAGGTGCAGGCCGCTTCAGCCCAGCTCCCTGACCCTCTGATGCCTGACTGTGCCACCCAGCGGTCCAGGCCCCAAATGGGGCGTCAGGCAGGAGAAATGTGCCCAAAGCCAGGAGTCTTGATGCTGGGGATGTCATTCTTCCTGTAGAAGTCAGCCTTCACGTGGTTGGCACGGCCGTGATCCCGGATCAGAGGCTCCACAGGCTGGTGTATGCGCCTCCCATAGACTGAGGACATCAGCACTCCCACAGGCCGCTGGCGCTCCTGTCCAGGGACACCAGAACACGGGGTCAGCTCATACCTCCCTGGTCACAGGCCCTACCTTGCATCCTGGAAGCCATCTCTGCCTGGCTCACCCACACACCTGCAACCCTCTCCAGCTGGGTTCTTAATGCCGGCGACCCCCTACTATGCAGACCCTGTCCCTTGTGCTCAGAGTCCCTCATTGTCCCCAAGTCCTTCACGCCATTCAGAGGAATGGCAAAGACCTTGCGCTGGGCACCGTCTCACCCTTCTCACTTTGGGTTGTGTTCTCCCCACCCCATCCCTCCCCCTGTCCTCCTGCCTGGCCCTCTCCAGCCCCGCTTGCCCCTCTCCCCTCCTGCCTCCTCTCTTTCCCCAAAACACATTTTTTCACTATTCACGTTGTCATTTCCGGCACCCCATCTCCCCTGAGCGCCCCCAGACCCCCTCATCTCGATGCCCCTCTCATCTCCACAAACCCCCACCTTCTCAGCCCCCCCTCATCTCCCAACACCCTTCCCTTCCCAGCTCCCCAGTCTCCTTTCACTTTCCCTGCCCCCTTAAAAGGCTTTATTTCTCTGCGTACCACTTACCACAACCTGGAATTCAGTTCCCTATGTACATGACAATTATTTTGCTATTTCCTCGTAGGAATATCAGCTCTAAGAGGACAGGGACTTTTCAGGGCACATGGGGGGCACTCAGGATCTGGGGTCAATACTGGTATTCTTATGACAGGGAAGCATTAGCCAACTTGGAATGAAGTCCCATATACAAAAACAATAGGAAAACACTTAAGGTCTGTGACTTAAATAGTAACACCTCATAGTTCATCATTGAATTTCCCATTGAAATAAAGGTCTGTTGGAAGTGACCTGGCAGCATTCTTATCAAGAGCAACCACGGGCAAAAACCCTCTGACCGAAAAAGAAATCCCAGCAGAGGCTCTTACATTTCAAATTCTGTGCATTGTAGAAATGATGATGATATCGACTCAGCATCTGGCTCTTAATAAACATGCCGTCCTCGGATCAGACTCCGAGGATGCAGAGTCCTAAGTGCTGAGGGTACCAGCAGGGTCTCACCACTAGGAGACGCACAGCCTCTTGCACCCAGGACCTGCTGCGACACCAACTTCCTCTCCCTGGGAACTGGGAGTTTGCTCCTGCTGCTGCTCGCACACCTGGGCACCCGACCTCAGGCCAAGCCCTCCTAAAGGAGGAGCTGCCCTGTACGTGGAGGTTGGAGGCTGGTGCCTAAACTAGAGAGGTTATTCCTGTCACTCTCCCGGGGTCCGTGGGAGAACTGTGACAGCCAGGACTCAGAAGTTAAGCAAAAACCTGCTTTATCTGTTGAAAAGAACTTCTTAGTTTCACCTTCATTAAGTTGTTAACTAAACAACACAGTCCTAAAAACAAATACACAGAAACAGAAGAGGGGGAGCTGGGAGCAGCAGGGTCTCAGCCCCAGGGGGTGACGAGGGAGGAGGGGACCTGCCCACGGAAGCCAGAGCGCACTGTTGAGTAGAGATGTGCACTCATCGCTAATCTGTTCACGCTTTGTCCACAGCCTGTCTTCACATCACCTCCTCATTCACGTGAAGTCCCAGGCTTTTTGCGTGTTCTCTGTCATCTCGGTGCAGTTTCTGATTGTAGCCTGGGCTCTTGTTAAAGACACAGTCGTATAGGGAGATGATGCCTGTCTGGGGAGAAGAAGAGAAAGACAGGCGTGGGTTCACTGGACGGCCGGGCCACGGCGATCCTTGTGGAGCTTGGACGCCAGGCTTCTCCCCGGTGGACCGTGGAGATGTGCGGTTTCCTGCCTACGCTGAGTATGTGTTCGGGAAGCTCACCCCAGAGCAGACCCTGGACAACCAGAGCAGGTCCCCGCAAGGCCCGGTGAGGCAGGGACGTCTCCGTGGCGATTTCCCTGCTCCTCCTCTACATCCCTCCGTGACCCAGGCCCTTGAACCTCCCGCTCTCTGACTCTAGCACTAGTGCACAACCTGAAAATAACAGCAATCCACTTAATTGATGTGTTTTTCTCCTTCGTTTCCACCTTTCTCATATTTTTCAAGTTTTCTGCAATAAGCTTGTACTGCTTTAAAAATTAACCATAATTCAAAACTGGGACAATGTAACCGAACAGAAGTATCTGTAAGTTGCTAGCCAACGGGGGGGGGGGGCACCTAGTACAAACCCCTCTCCACAGAAATATTTCCTTTAATTAAATGTGGTGGCTCTAATGAATGTCATTCATAATGCATGGAGATATATATATATTTGATATATAATATATATGCATTTCTAATATACGCACATACGTCTCACAGATATAAAAATACGTGCACACGCAAAGCTTTGATGTGTCAGAAAATTACCCTGCTAACAGCTTTCATCTGAAATATCTCCATTTTTTTATCCCAAATTTCTCTTGATACAAAAATTAATCTGCCTTATCTGGTACCTAATAAAAGGAAAAGAAATCCATGTGTTAGCTCTTCTTTAATCTTCACGTGTAAGTCAGGTCTGTCCTTTACGTCCCTCCAGCCAGGGGCCAGCCGCCCTGGATCCTCCAGCAGCAAACGCAGGCATTCCGTCCCGCTTGCATTCGGGGGCACGGGGTATCTCGCCTGCGCTTGCTTGCCTGCTTGTTTTCCCCAGTAGTAATCCTAGAACAATTCCCTCCCACTCCAGGATGCGGAGGTAGAAGGCAGACAGTGAACAGGACACATGGAAAACGGCGGGACTCCACAGGGCTGGTAGCAATGGAAATGCCAGAACGTGATGTGGCTTCAACCCCACCTTGACAAATCCCTCACGGGTCATCTGTCCTGTGCCAGACATGCTACTCCTGCTGGGGGAGTCGTGAAGATAGCTCAGACCCCTGGCCACCGTCCTGGTACAATTAACCAGCTAGTAAGCAAAACAAGGTGAGCTTTTAGCATTATTTTAGGTTCCTAAGAATTCCAACGGCAACATGCCTGTGGCACTTATTCACGGGTTTTGCCTAAGTTCAGAGTCACTCCAAGTGACTTAGAGAGGCAGGAGCCATCACCCCGATGGCCATTTAATGAGGTCACTTTGTAGCTTCTTGTTGGCACTGTCCTCTGTCACCTACTGGGCTCCTGGGTCTGTTCATGCCCTGGGTTGGCTGGCCCTGGCCTTCACTTGTCCTGAAGGACACCTACAGTTAGCTCATACATCAGCGGTTAAAAAACAAAAAGCTCAAATCCGCGAGGTGGTGATACCTTATTCCATACTGTAAAAATCAGCTAGCTATTTGCAAAAAACTATAAACTTGGGTCTTCACAGTCTATTATCATCAAAAGTCAATTCTGGATGGATTAGAAAAACAAGTGAAAAGAAAATCCATAAGGGACCTCCTACGCATAAAAGCAATGGAGAAAATGTCACAAAGAAAACATCAATCACTTTGGTTATGTAAAAATCAGACATTTGATGATCAAATAAAATTAGGACTTTTTCAAAAACTTGTCGGATGGATGGGAAAATCTCGGCGTCTTGAACATACCGTGTGTGGGGTTGTAGGGTGTCCGCAGAAGCGAGGGGCTTTGGCTGGCTGCTTGCTTCCAGCCTGGAGAGGTTAGGCACAGGTTGCAGCAAGCCTTTTGGGGGAAGCCACCAGGCCAGAGGGCCCTGCAGTGATACAAGACAGAGCCAGGTGCACCCCGCACTCTGCCAGGATGGTGGGACATAAACGTCCCGCAGGAGCGAATGCCGGCCTCTGCACGGCGAGGAACCATGATTCAGACCCTTCCCTTTGGGGTTCAGAGCAGAGCTGCTGGCCTGGCCGGCTGAGCCCAGCAGGCAGACCCGGACAGCAACTAAATAGCCCATCACCCCCACACCATCCCCTCACACACAGGAATTTGAGCTGGACTTGTGGTCACAATCGAGGTGTCCCGTTGTCCCCAGAATCCCTCCTGGCCTGGCTGACCCTGTGAAGTGGGTGTGTTTCAGGGACAGCAGCTGCAGTCTGCAGCAGAAAGACCTGCTCCCCAGGACTGAGCCCCCTGGGGGGCAGCTGCACCCTGAGAACGCTGGGCCACAGATGAGGGGACCTGCGGTGAGCCTCAGTCCCTGCAGGGCGCCGTGGTGATGGCCGGCAGAGCAGGGGTCTGATGGACAACCCTGTGGGGGCCGGAGATGGGGGGACTGGAGCGGGGGGGGCGAGCACAGGGGAGCTGCTGGCTTGGGCTGTCCTCCTGTGCAGCTGTTTCCATCCCGGCTTGACCCTCCCGAACTGAGTCAGCCCCTTGGGGGTTCCTGGGCTTGTCCTGGAGACAGACTCCAGCACAGAATGAGAAAGCAATTGCTGTGACCTGAACCAGGGAGGCAAGGTTCCTTCCCATCCCCGCTCCGGGGGAGCAGCCCACTGTGATGTGCAGCGTCACAGAAGACTGCCCTCCCCGTTCTCATCAGGTCTCCTAAAACACTCCTTAGAAGCAGCGCTATGGGGCGCCTGGGTGGCTCCGTTGGTTAAGCAGCTGACTCTTGACTTGGGCTCAGGTCACGATCTCAGCGTCATGGGTTCCAGCCCGGTGTCGGGCTACTGGAAAGCCTACCTCTCTTGTACGCTAGAGCAACCCTTATGAGGGACCTCACTGCATCCACGAGCTATGAACAGTCTCCGCTGTGCAGGGGTTTTGCACATCCACCACTTTCCAGAGTAAAAACGGATTTTTCTGTCACTGAAAAACAAGCCTGGGGGCCGAGGTGGGGGGGGACCCACAGGCAGGCAGCCTCGCTTAGCAATGTGACTGTCCACTTCCAGCACCTCATCAGACCAAAAATCTGTCTTCTCCGGAATGTTAATTATTAATCTCTCTTCTTTCTTTTTGTCTTTCGTTCCTTCCCAGTTTGAAGCAAAACTGCGTTAATAAAAACCGACCCGGACTTAGATGCTGTCACAAAACAGGGCTTCTGCATTTACTGGTGTTTTGCTATTAAAATCTCTCAAGAAATGTCCTCTCGCACATGTATCATTGTTTTTGAAAAACAAAGTAAAATGAGCCCATTTATTGTCTCTCCGGTGACCTCCCTTTGTCCCTTTGCATTTTGAGTATTGTTAAAATGTAGTACGGCCTCGCCCTGGGCATGGGGTCTGGTACCTTGCCTTCAGTTGCCCCACAGTGACCCTTCCTCCTAACATGGCCAAATAACCCCTCCGTAGCCCTGGGCCAGCGCCATGGGTAGAGTGGAGACCTTCACTTTTCAACCTCCAAAGCACATTTCTCTGACCATCGGACAAGGCACCCAGCCAGGGCAGGACTAGGGGCAAGGAATAGGGCATTCCCTTCTTAGAGGGATTGTGTGGGATTCTTAGAGGAGACCACAGGCTGACGATGGAAATAAGGTCATTAATTAAACAATTGAAGGTAATACCCGTGGAGCAACGGAAGTGTGCACAAAGTACGGTGGCACCAGAGAGGAAAATTCAGCATCTGCTGGGCTCAGGCAGGAAGCCTGTGTGGCTGCAGTCGTGGGAGAAAGGGGGACACACCCCGTACCTGTATGGACAGAGCCCCAGAGAAGTCCCCTCCCTGCATGTTACGTGTTGAATTGCATCCTCCAAAAAATTCATCCATTGATGTCCTAACCCGAGGATCTCGGAAGGTGATTTAGAAATAAGGACGCTGAGGACGTAACCAGTTAAGGTGAGGTCATACTGGGGCAGGGTGGGCCCCTCCTCCAACAGCACTGGTCTCCTTATTCAAAAAGTTCAGAACCGACAGGGACACGCAGAGAGAGGTGATGTGAGGAGACACAGAGAGATACAGAGGCGAGCGGCCTGGAGCAGACTCTCCCTCACGGCTCCCAAAGGAGCCGACCCTGCCAACACCTTGACTTGGCCTCCAGCACGAGGAGTCGGTGAATTTCCATCATTTAAGCCCCTGGTCTGGGGGTACTTTGTTATGGCAGCTCTAACACACACCCTTGGTAGCGAGCAGGAGCCATCTTTCGAACAACGGAAAATAAGGATGGAGCTAATGCATTCCGCCCCAGGTAAACTGAGTCAGTAGAACGTTCAACCCAATCGGACAGTGGGTCAACATCACCAATATTCAGTTCTGCTCTGCTCCTGACTCCCCAGAGGGTCACTCTCCACTGCTCCCTTGGGCAAGGGAAGCCAAGTGACCAGTTCTCAGCAATGAACTCTGAGTGGGGGTGACATGAGACTAATCCTGTGGGCACCTGTGAAGCTTCCTGAGAGTGTCAGCAGCTTCCTGCCGGGGGCACTGGGCCCAGTCGATGTGCACGACCTGCAGCTTTGCCCCCAAAGAGGTCACACACACTCTCCCACCAGTAAGAGGAAGATCTCCAGCAAACCGAACCCGAGTCCTTTATCTTCTCCTCTCTTTCAGATCATTTAGATACAAATGTGCTGTCCATTGTCCATTCAAACAAGATACTAAGAAAAAAGAAATTGATACATTTCTCTCATGGTACTGGGGCAAGAGTAATGTCATGTGTTCACTGAACACACTCTCTCTTCTGGAATAAACAGAAGACTGCAGTCACCAGGTGCCGTCACAATTAGGCTGGGGCCAGGTGACAAGCTCCGGCAAGGAACTACAGGGGAAGCCAGCAGGTATCACCTTCCAGGTCCATGAGAACTCTCACGTGTCCGCCATGCACTTCCCTTGCTCTGTGGCCAGCAAGTTCAGAGGCTCCCACA